AGCAGCAGCAGTAGCGGTGCAGGCAGGAGCAGCATTATTTAATGTTTGCTTTATGTTCACTGACAAAGGAGGCTGCATGCTGTTTTCACTCGAGGCCATTCTGTGGGCGTTGGACTCTATTGTTTAATGAAAATGGCAGTTTCATAGTTGTTGCACTAAAACTACTTTGCACTTTGTGGTTTGTAACTGGTTTATGTCTGTATTTTATAAATTTATTTCCAGATATTTCAGGTCTTCTCTGCTCATTAAACCCCAAAATGTATTTTCTTTTTCCTTCCTTGTCTCTTCACATCTTTCCACTGTTTAGCTGGGTGGGTTATGAGTATCCAGAGTTCCAGGGACAGCAGTTTATCCTGGAGAAGGGAGACTACCCTCGCTACGAGGCCTGGAGCGGAAACAGCAGCTACAGAACCGAGCACATGCTTTCCTTCAGACCCATCAAGTGCGCTGTAAGTTACATTCATCCCTCTCATCTTTTCTCTGTTTACTAGTCAGCCTCTGTCTGCTGCTACAAGTGTCTTACTTCCCTTTTTTCTCTGTCTCTGCAGAACCACAGTGACAGCAAGGTGACCATGTACGAGTGTGAGGACTTCCAGGGCCGTAAGTTTGAGATGTGCGATGACTACCCCTCCCTACAGGCCATGGGATGGTGCAGCAAGGAGGTGCCCTCTATCAAAGTCAACTCCGGAGCGTAAGTTATACATATTACCCTCTATTTATTTGTGTCTCTTGTCTCTCCCTTTTTAAGCACCCGATCACCATCCGACTTTGTGTTTCCTTATAGATGTACTTTTAGTCAAAACACAGAATATAAATATTTTTTTGCTATTTGGAAACAACCTATCAACCTGATCTGAATGGATGTAATATGGAGAAAATGTCCAATAGTTGATATATGTTTATTTAAATGATATATTCTATTCTTTGATCTGACCTTGACTCCACATCCCCCCCTCTCTCTCTCTGCAGCTGGGTGGCCTACCAGTTCCCTGGTTACCGTGGCTACCAGTACATCCTGGAGAGAGACAGACACCAAGGCGAGTACAGAAACTACAATGAGTACAGCACCCAGGCTCACACCAACCAGGTGCAGTCCATTCGTAGGATCCAGCACTAAGCCTCCACTCTGCCTGCCTGACCCAAAAAAACTCTCCCTGAACCCCTTCCTCAACTTGAACCCCTGGACAGACCGCTGTCACAGAACAGTAGACGGACAAACTCTTTCTATCACTCTGTGGCTCTGCATGTATGGATATCTAAGTACCTACTTCTTCTACCATGCTAAAGCATGTTCTTGATATAGGAAATAAAGGCTTTTCTTCAAAACTAGAGTCTGTTTGTCGGCATTCCTTTTTTTTTTTACAATAAAAATGATCACTCTAATTAAATGAATAAATATGAAAACCTCAGAAGAGCAATGATCTGCTACACTGAGCTATCAATCATTCTGCACCTTGGTTATGACAGCCATGGCATAAGTGCACAAGCACTGCAAAATCAGAGCCCCTTATTCTCTTTTAGCTTCATAGACCAGGCTGTTATCAGAGATAGTTTTTGCTTTGTATTTATTTAAAGGACATATTTAGCCTTTTAGTGACCATGGAAAGATTTGATTCAAATCTCTCTGTTAGGCTTTAGGATGTGTAATATTGTTCTTGTCAGACTGTATTCTCCTTTTAAATAAACAAGAGCACGAGAACACATTTGTTTCTATTATTTGTGTTTCGACTGTTGCAATCACTTTTTGCCAAAATGGCCCGTAAAGTGAGAAGCTGAAGGAAAAGCAACAGCTAATCCAATTGACCAAGTTGAAACACTGTCTAGTTGCCAATAAAGTTCTCAACAAACACATATCAGATCAAATAAAATACCACAATAATTCTTTTTTTCAGGTGATTATACACTCATGAAAAACATACCTGTGCATATTATATTCCATATCTACCAATAGATCCTCCTAAATGTTACACACTGGACCTTTAATATTAAAAATATTACTACTTGTACATAGTATCTACATTGATTAGTTTAACCCAAGTGAAAACCATTATCCCTAACCCTTACTGATTACCTTATTATATCTTCACAAAGGTGCTAGTGATAGATGTAGTAAGGCTACGTAGACCAGTCAGGCAAGATTTTAAAGCTGCAACTAGTGAAAAATCCCACTTCAGAGAGAGGCCCTATTTTTGTATTTTGAACACTATATATACAAGAAGTACCAGACAGGTTATGTTATTTCTGAAATAAACTCTGATTTACAAAAAAACATGTTCCCCATTACATCCTTGCGCACAACTACCTCATAAATGTCTGGTAGCTTAGAAGCATTTGTTTGTTTATTCTAATGAGACACCATGTTTATCTTACAGTCACACGCCGGGATCCTGGAGTGTGTTTACCTCCACACACACTCCTGTTGGTCCAGGACGTGGGATTCCGTGTTACACACCCACAAGCCTGCACCGGCTTACAGTCCCACACCCAAAAAACCAGGATCTTTTAATAAATGTATAACCATGTACACACACCTTTCTCAAATATACATTCCTCTACAGACTGATTAAAGCAGCTGCAGCGTGGCTTATAGGGGAGTGACACTTGGGGAGTCTAGTAAGTTGCACACTCTGGTACTTTGGCCACACCATTCAGAGCAGAGCAGGTAAGTTAAAGGCTTTACAGAGGAACTTTGCATTGAGTCTTGATGACAGCTAGAATTTAATGTGGGTGTTATGATTGATTTCTTCACTGAAATGAGTCACAGTAGGTTTTAAAACGGAGAAATGTTTTAAACAGATGAAGTGATGCTATTTAGTCTGAATGTTTACATCTATATGGTCACTAAATGACTACATAGGCCACTGTAGGGCTTACCATTACATAACTATAGGCAAATGACCAGTGTAACACTCTCTTGATCTATGTTTGTATGTTAGATTTATACTAGGTGTAACATATGTTAAGTTTATACATCAGTTTTACTTGCACACTACTACTGGGATAGCTAACATCAGATTCTGACTTGACTGAGCTCAATAAGTAGCAACAAAGTAGCACTTTTCTGATGGTTTTATGTAATTATATTTTTCTTTTTTTCTTTTTGTCAAACCTTCTTGCCTCATGCTAATCACTGACCAGAGGTACTTACCAGAG